GGCGAGGTGGTGGACGGGCACTTGCCAACCTGGGTCATTATCATCTTACTGCCCCCGTTTCTTCTGTGGAGGAGAACAGTTCGTCTGTGATTCACAGATGAGGAAACTGCAGCCCAGAGAGGTGGAGAAGCCCGTCAGAGCACCCGTGAGAGGAGGCAGAGCTCAGCCCCCAAATCCGGTCACCTGCACAGTATGCCCTGGTGACAGGTGTCCTGCTCGGGACGGGACCTGAACTGAGAATCAAAGTGGAGGTGAAGTGGAAGGCCCGGGAGCCGGGATCTGGTTTTCTCTGCCTTCCTGCAGAGTGAGCCCGGCTGGCTGTGGGCGTGGCCCGGGGGAGGTGGGGGCGGAGCCCAGGGGCCAGCTCTGGCTCCGAATCGCAGGTGTCCAGGGGCCACCGGCCTCCTCCTGTCTTGCCGTTTGCCTTTCGCGGGCAGCAGCAGCCCTGTGCATCCCGCCTGGGAGGTTCACAAGGGGCTGGGAGGTTCAGTGAGCTCTCTGCCCGGCACAGGGCGGGGCCTGGGACTAGCACGGGGCTGGACCCCAGCTCCCAGCAGAGCGCTGGCTCGTGACCTTGGGGAGCTCCCTAATTGTCCACACCTCAGTCTTCCTTCCTGTAAAACAGGGATGGAGGCCTCATCTCTCCCTGGGGGTCAGTGTGAGGATTAAATGAGATGATACAACACAGGTGTTGAACGCCGAGGCTGTGCTGCCTCTGGGCAGTGCCGACGGACCGTGGACTTGCGTGGCCTGAGAGTGAGCGCCTCCTGAACTGCTCTGTGCCTCGCCTGCCCGGCCCCAGTCCTACTGTGCGCTCAGGGAGCCTTCTAGAATAACACTAGGGATAGCTTTAACGAACCAACGGCTACTAGTATCTGACATGCAGATCTCTGGGGTCGAGGACATAGACTCTAGACTCCCTGGTTTCTCATCCTGACTCCCCATCTGTGTGACCTTAGGCAAGTTACTTTACCTCTCTGTGTCCCAGCTTTCCTATCTACACAAGGGAATCCTCACGGCCCCTGCCGCACAGGGTCGTTGGGAGGCCCCGGGAGCTGAACAAGGAAAGCGCATCCAGGACGCCGCGTCTACTCCTCCCGCTCCCAGGACCCTCCAGTCGGGACAGCGTTCATCCTGCGGCCACCCGAGCTCCTGGAGCCTGCGCGTCTGACCTCCTCCCTCTGCCTCTGCCGAGTGCGGGCCCACGAGGCCGGGACCATGGTTGTCCCTCTTTGTCAAAGAGGAACCTGGCTGTGCCCGCGGGCCCACTCCACCTCTCTCCTGTCTGAGCTGTGGGGACGGGGACCTGCCCGCACGGCGGCTCTTACCTCGCAGCCCTTGGCCATGGCGAAGCCCCCGCCCAGCAGGAGGATGACGTTCCAGGGCACCGTCTCCTGGGCCTTCCTCCAGGTCAGCAGGGGCTCCGTGTCCGTGTTGGGAGCTGGGCAGAGAGAGGGACCCAGCAATGCGCAGGGGCCTGGGCCTGAGGAGGGGGCCGCCAGCCCTGCAGCCCCTTCTTCGTGGGGACACTCAGGGGTCCCAGGACATCAAGGCCTCGTGCTGGAGAGACCCCATGAGTGTCACCAGGGGGTGTCCATGCCTCGGCTCCAGATGTGGGGGATCAGGCGCCCCACAGGCCAGACACCACCTAAATCTCCATCTGCCCCGGGAGGTGCCGCGGGATCCCCAGGCCCAGCAGGAAGGGAGAAGGGAGGAACCTAGAACAACGGAACCGAGAGCAGCCTGGTCCAGGCCGTCCCCTGGCCTCTCTTCCCCAGCTGGGCCCACGTGGGCAGTGGTGAGGAGGGCGGCAGCGAGCCGGGTGCAGGGTGCACGAGCCACCACCACCAGCTCCTGCTCTGTCCCTGTGGCTGGGAAGCCGCCAGGACAGTCCAGACCGTGGCACAGGGACACTGACGGAGACTGTTCACGACAGCAGGGGGTGGCTGGGCCTGGCCCGGGAGGCACCCCAGCCTTGGCCAATCCGGAGGTCCCTGTGAGCCCTGCCTGAGGCAGAGCGGGGCGGGGCAGCTGACCCTGCGTCCCCAGGGCCTGGAGCCAAGTCACTGTGAGTGTCTGCATGTCACCCTGGGCCCCCTGCTGGGCGGCGGACACTCTGGAAGGGAGCAGGGGCAGCCGCTCCCAGGTCCCCATTGGCATTCCTTCCCCTCTGGCTTCCCCAGTTCCCCGGCCTCCAGGGTTTTGAGATCAGAAAGTAAGAACAATAAGAGCTGCTTCAGGAACCTCCCCAGGGAGAGCCTGGGGACTCCTGGACCAACACCAGGCAATTAGGGCAGGTGGCAGGAGGCCCAGCCTCCACGGGGTGATACCGCCCTATTTCATTAGAGGGGGAAGGGGCCTGAGAGAGTAAGGGACCGCCCTGTGTGGCAGGTAGAGCAGGACAGGGAGGGGAAGGCCCCGGGCACCTGGTAGGCACCACTGGCAGGAACTTTGCCCTTTTTACGATTGTCCTGCCCAACCACGCCCTGCCACTGTTTCCTGTTAGCCCGCTTCTGGCCAGGTGGGCTCCACTTCTGGCTCAAGCTCCGCCTGGCTGGCGTCTAGAGCAGCGAAGCACAGGCAGCAAGCACAGGTTTGCATTAGGTTTGACCCTCGCTCTGCTGTTCACCAGCTGTGTGACCTGGGCTGGTGACTCCACCTCTCTGCGCCTCGACCTCCTCATCTGCCAGGCAGGGTGATAGCACTTCCCTCAGAGACTTTGGCGCTGAGATGAAATGTGCCCCCGTGGGCAAAGGGCCGAGCCGGGGCCATGGCCCACAGCAAGTCCTGGTTCTTCAATTGACGAATTCACCCCGAGGCCCTGCCATGTGCCACACACTGCTCGGGACACCTGGGACACAAAAGGGCCAGCAGGGAGACACCACACCTGTGGCTGGCCGGGAAGGGGGAGGAGGAGAGTGGACGCGGCCAGTTGGGGTGAAGAGGAAACCCAAGCTGCTTGGTTTCCACGTCCTGCTTAAGCTCGTCGGGTGACTGTGACCAAGTCACCTTCTCGCCCTGGACACTGACCATCAGACCACTCTCTAAGGCACTGTCCACGTTCTGAGGGCTAAGACACAAAGCGTCACCTCGGCCAGTCTGCACAGGACACCGGTGGCCAGAGGACAGTGGTGCTCAGAGTCCCTGCCCACCAGGGACTCAATGCTGGCTAAGGTGGCATAGTGACACTGCCTGGACCAAGCTCCACTCACAGTGTCCTAGTGCGACTGCCACTGGCCCGCGTGGCGGTGGCTTTGTCATTTGAATTGGTGACCAACATTTCAAATCTGGGAGACTTCACACAAGCCCAGAATCTTTGCTTCTCTTGGAAACATCGGACCGAACCAGTCCTGCCTCCCTGGGTGCCGGCCGCGGGCAGGAACCGCGGGCAGGAACCGCGGGCGTCCGTCTGCCCCACGGCATGGGTCTGTGCAGCCTGCTCCCAGGGTGCCAAGCTCCTGTCCTTTGTCCTCCTCTCTGCGGCCATTTCCTCCAGGGGCAGGCGCTGCTCTCTGTACCAGGATGTGACAGGGGAGATGGACGAGGAGGCCACGTGCTCCGGGCACGGACTGGGAGCCAGCAACCTGATCCCGAGACCACTGAGAGGACATGCAGCCCCCAGGGCCCTCCTCCCTGTGGGAGGCCCCGAGCCCAGGAGCCGGGGAGAGAGCACCAGAACAGGGCAGCAGCGGGCACCGGCCGTCTCCGTCATCACCCGCTGCAGCCCAGCCAAGGAAGCTCTGGGCATTCAGGAGAGGCCACCTGACCTGGGCAGTCGTCACAGGAGGCCGGGAACCCGTGGTGCCGTGAGGTGGCCTCTGGGGAAGATCCGCCCAAGTAAGGAGCAGCCGGAGCAGCCCCATTCTGAGCCGCCAAGGGAGGGGGCCGACTGGGAGAAGAGTCCTGCCACGCAGGTGCCCACGCAGGTGCCCACGGAGGGCCGAGTGGGCGGGGTCCTGCAGGGAGCTGGAGTGGGGGCAGAAACCCTGCAGAAGCAGATGTCCCAGGGTGGCCCTAGCAGAGGTCCTGGCAGGGCAGGGGGCGGCAGCGCTGGGGGCGAAGCTGGAGCCAGGGGGAAGCAGCCACCAAGAGGCAGCAGGACCTCGGAAGACGCCCAGCAACGAAGCTCGGAGACGAGGCGTGAGCAAAGCAGGGGCCGTCGGGCAGGAGCGCGGCCAGGGCCAGAGAAGAGCTGAGTCCGGCTCAGCGGGGAGCCCACGGCCAGGCCCCCTGGGGTCCAGCCAGGCCACTGCTGTGTGGGACCCTGGGGACACCTGGCTTTCTGTGCAGTCTCCACTAGAGTTGGGACTGGCCTTCGCCAAAGTCTTTCTTCCCCAACAACAGGAAGCCGTTAGATCCTGACCCCTGACCCCTGACCCCTGACCCCCGACTCCTGGTCCAGAGCCCATTCCCTGCCTGAGACAGACACGGGGCTAGGCACAGGTGGCAAGTGCTGGTGCCGCCTTCTGGCAGCATCTGCTGGACACCTACTGGGGTCGCAGACTGGCACTTGGCCCTCAGCCTTCGGGCGCCCGCTTAGGGGCCTGCGGTGATTTTCGTAAATTTGGATTTTAATTGAGCTTTGCCTCCGACTCACTGCGCCCAGCTTGGCTCTGTCCTGCCTGGCTCTTAGGCCACCAGCTGCGCCTCCTGCCTTGGCTGGGGGGTCGGCCACTGTTCAGGAAGGGGGTTTGGCTGAGGGCCGGGCAACATCGGGCCTTGGGTCGACGTACATAACTAAGGGGAAAGGAACCTCCCGGCTTCCCAGCTCTCCTGCGGAAGGCACCTTGACTGCGGACACGGGACGTGGATTTCTTACAATGTCACGCGTCAGGAAATGTTCTTCTTGTGATTTTTCTCAATTATATGAAACCCATTCCTGGCTCACGGGTTGTACAGCCACGGCCAGTTGCTGGGCCTGGCCCAGAACATATCTTGGATGCCACCTCAGGCGGTCCCAAGTCCCCAGACGTCCCTCACACTGCGAGGGGGACACGCAGGACCACTGGTCAGTACAGTGCTGCTCCAGGTCCCTGAGGCCACGCCGCAGGCCACGGTCCTTGCAGA